GTGATCTCTCTCTGTCAAATAAATAAATAAAATCTTTAAAACAAACAAAAAACATTTTCGGCTTTAAGCAGGAGTTGACTTGGAAAATATTAATGAAGATTCCTGTTAGTTCACACTTCCCAGAATCTGCACATGGCCTGAATTACCAAAGAGCAAATGAGAGAGGCTTAAGTTTGTCCATATGTTAGAACAGTTATGAACCCATATAGGGGTGCCTGGGTGGCTCAGTCAGTTAAGCCTCCAACTTGATTTCCGCTCGGGTCATGATCTCAGGGTTGTGAGATGGAGCCCCTGTTGGGTTCTGCGCTGAGCGGGGAGCCTGCTTTCGATTCTTTCTCCCTGAGCCCTATCTCCCTTAAAAACAAACAAACATACAAACAAGACACATACTGAAAGTTGCTTTCTTTGCCATCCCACTAGACCTGGAAAGGAGTAGGTTGGCTTGACTCACAGGGAATGGCACATAATCATATGCATCTTTCTTTAAACCCAATTCATAGCAGTGAGCTAGAGCATAGATTCCCTTCAGGCACTCTCCTCTTGTTTTGTCAGCTCCATTTAAATTAGATGCACTTCCTGTGTCCTGAAGGGCAGCCACAGGACCCAATGAACTGAGGTGTGGGCTTATTACCAGGGACTACTTGACTATTGTCAATAGACTTTTTATCCCTGGATTTATGTGGGATTCCTGGAAACACTGGTGGCCATAACTGGTGGAAGGGAGCAAGGAACAAATCCTAATTTGTAGTTTGGAGTTTTGGAGGATTACTCTTAATGCAGCTGACTAAATAATTTATGGTAAGTTTTGTTTATTTCCCTTCTGCACCAAATATCAGTAAGGGAACCAATAATTAAAATTGTCATTGAGGAGTATTATAACTAAGAGTTATAACAAAAAAACAGTATTTAAGGGTGAAAACATTGCTATGTCAAGCAAGTGGCTCAAAATGACTTTCCCCCTGATCTTACTACATTGGAATCTCTCTGATTTTGTCCATTGTGGTTATACTCTCTTACTTTGTGACTTGGACAAGTTCCTTATGTCCCATTTTCATCATCTTTATCATGTGGAATAATAACAGTACCTTTTTCTTGGTAGTGTCATCAGAATTAATGGAAGTAACATTTGAAACACTTTAGCACAGTGCCTAGAATGTGGTAAATGTTGCAAACAAGATAACCCTTGCCCATTTTCAGGTCATTCAATGTAATGATCAACCTCTTGATGTGTCATGGCAAAAACATAAGGAAGAATGGTAGCAGATAGGAGAGAGGAAACCTCAGGCACACCAGGATACTGAAAGGGCAGGAGAAACGTAGACAGTGTTCATCAAAAATGAAAAAGGAGGGCACCTGGGTGGCTCAGTCAGTTAAGTGTCTGACTCTTGATCAGGTCATGATCTCAGGGTTGTGAGATTCAGTCCTCCTTCCTCTCTCTCCGTCTCCCTCTGCCTCTTCCCACCCACCTCTCACTCCATCTCTAAAAAAAAAGAAATAGAAGAAATAAAAAAGGATGTGTTGGAACTCTCCCACTCTTCCATGTTGTTGGTGGGAACGTAAAATGGGGCAGCTGCTGTGGAAAATAGTGTGGCGGTTCCTCAGAAAGTTAAACAGGATTACCATATGACCCAGCAATTCCACTCCCGCATATATACCCCAAAGAACTGAAAGCAGGTTCTCAAATATTTACATATGTATGCTTATAACAGCATCACTCAAAATAACCCCAAAGTGGAAACAACCCAAATGTCCACTAGCTTATGAATGGATAAACACAAGTGGTATATCCATACAATGGAATATCATTCAGCCTCAAAAAGGCATAAAGTCCTGACACATGATATCACATGGATGAACCTGGAAAACATGCCAAGTGAAAGAAGTGAGTCATGAAAGATCTCATATCCTGTGGTTCCACTTATGGGGACTATCCAGATTGAAAGCAGACTGGTGGTGGCCAGGGGCTGGGGGGAGGTAGGAACTGGGGAGTAACTGCTTAGCGGGTACAGGGTTTTCATTTGGAGTGGTGAAAATGTTTTGGCACTAGACAGAGGCCATTGTTGCACAACATATGAGTGTACTAAGTGCCACTGAATTGTTCCCTTTAAACGAGTTTATTTTATGTTTTGTCACTTTCACCTCATTAAAAAGACAAACACAGAAGAGGATGAGAGTGAGCACTCTCTCTGTTCTAGTTGAGAAGACAGAGGCATTCCAGGTTCCTTCTCCCACCTACCAGAGACTCCTTCATGAAGAGCTGATGTCCAGCCCCTCGGGTCTTGATTTTCTCATCTGTAGGAAAATGAAGTTGGACCAAGTGACCACTAAGATCCCTTTCAGCTCACATTCGAAGGCAAAGAAATTCACCACACTTCTTTCTCCCTGACTCAACCACGTGCTTGAAAATGACAGCATCTGTCCCGCAGATGGACCCTGGAAGACAATATTATTGTAACTAAATGACATGGACATTAATTTTAGTTATGAAAATGAAAAGTATTTTAATATTATTATAATGCCACACATTAATGGGCAAATAACTAAAGCAAATGTACTTTAATGCTTAGCTTGGGGTTTGCCACTCTGAGGCTCAGCCTCTGAGCCTGCCTGTGGCTCCAGCCTGTCTGCCCCCGTCTGTGTGATCATACCGAGTGCTTTTTGCCAGGCACAGTATCTCGGGCTTCTTTGCCAAGTGTGGAGCTGGCGGCCCCAAGTGGATCGGGGGACCTTGATTGATTAATAGGCACCCTAGCTGAGCAGGAAGGGTGGGAAGGGATTGAATCCCCTTCCATACTGCCCATATTGTGCAACCAAATCATCTAGAGCAGTTGAAGGCTGTCAGTTGCTAGAACTTGTTTATAGACTATTATTCTAGTTACAACTAGATTAGTTACAACCATCGAAACATTAGCTTCCTAGTAAGCCAAGGTAACCCAGTTCTGGGATTTAAAGTCCTGGGTCAATACGTGCATTCTGGGAGATGGGTACGAATGCAGTCTTCTGTGTTTTGCTGACTGCTACTTCCCCTGCCTGCTACTACAGATTTTCAGCCCTCTGTAAGTTCCCTTCTAATTACTCCTCTGAGTATCAGGTGTATCTGCAGAGAAGTTTTAACCAGCAAAATTTCAGCCAGCTACCAAGGATTATCTGTCATTTCCTCCTTTTTTCATTCAGGTATCAACTTATAAGGTCTACAGCAGATCCCAAAGCTGCAAATGCTACAAGCCACATCCTACCAGGGCCCATATTCAGGCCACCTCAGACCACAACTCTCCTGGGTATCCCGTTCTCCATAATGTCCCTGGAGATCACTGAATGGACCAGAGCAATTCCTTGCAGACTGCCTCCTTCACTGGCCTCTTCAATTTGGTTCTGGACCAGGCTGATCTGCCAGACCCTCTTTCAGTGACTTCTCTTTGAGCAGGTTCCCCAGGTCCTCAAGCAAATGGACCTTTCTTGTAGGCTTTCAGACAAGTCCAGACATGACCCAAACCCTTGTGGAAGTTGCACAGCAGATTCCCAGTAACTATTTGTTAGGCACCCTAGGGAGTCCCAGGAGGATGGGCTCCTGTCATCAAGAAGCTGCCATGGACATTTGGACAACAGCTCGTCGAGGCTGTCCGAGTCAAGAGTCAAGACTTTACCCCAGTCGGTGCAGCTCCTATAGAAGGGTTATGCGGACAGTGCCAACTAATCATCGTCTTGGCAGAGAACCTCCTCTCAGGATAACAGAAGTTCCACCAAAGGTTTCTTACTGACTGCTCCTCAGGAACATTCCTCAGGTTCTTATTCCACCAAGTGCCCCTGTCTGCTTCTTTCCATCATGTAGCAGCAGCCCCTTTCCTATTCTACTCTTTGTTCTTGGCTTGGATTTCACCATTTCTTCCTTTTATATCTCTCCCCTAGCCTGCTGAGCAGAGAGGGCTATCGGAAGGAGAATGAAAGTGAAAAAGCTGTAGAGGATTGTGTACAAAATACACAATACCTATAAAACTTGTACATTCTTTTGTTCCACTTAAATGAAGAACCTGAATGTAATCTAATGTAAAATTTAAAATATGGAAATAACTTTGCATGCGATTTACGAACCTTTTCCCCTGGATTCTAATCTCTGGTGTTTGGTAGGAAAGGGAATGAAAAAATTTCATAAAGCAGTCAGCTTACCTTTGGATAACTAAAAAGTTTTTCAGGTGGTGTCCATCCCTCCTACAAGTGTAGTTTCTTGTAAAAAGAAAAAGTGAGTTTGGAGACCTAGAATTTAGTCTGTCTTTTGGGGGATATACTTAGATGGTTGTTACATGAGCATGTGATTAATTCTGAAGGCAGACTTTCAGAACACCCTATTTGAGTAAGCAGCTTGCAAAAGAAGTCGACGAAAACATCCAACAAAGCAAAATACAGCATTTTCAGGGTTCAATCAGATAAGATCCAGCATTTCTTCATTGTGCATCCCCCCCCCCCCCACCACCATTGAGAGGACACAGGGCTTTGGGGACACAGGGGTTAGGGAAATGAGTTCAAACTGGATTTCTCCCAGTCCTCAGTGGCTTGAGTCTCCTGACCTGGGTCAAACAGCAGAATCAAGGGTAATAAGGAAAGGAACCAGGTGAAGCTAGAACCAGATCACGGTTTAATACACCTACTTGTTCCTGAGTTTGTTATTCTGTTCAAGAGGTGACCGGCCCAAAACGCGGCCGTAAACTGTGCTGATTTCATTTACATTTACAGAGTTGGGATCCAGGTTTTCAAGTTTGCGATGGGACTTTATGCATAACATATGCAAATCGACCACAGTCTAAAAATTCCGTCTGTTCTCCAACCCCCCCTCTAGTCACAAACAAGCGGGGCTGGCGCGGGGCAGCGGTAGTCGGGGAGCGGGTGGGGGACGGGCGCGGGGAGGGCTGTCCCGGAGGCGGGCCCGGGGCGGGGCATGGGCGGGGCCCGTGACGCGCCCAGTCGGCCGGCTTGGGGGCTGGACCTCAGCCTCTCCCCGCCTGGGGCCGCCGCGGCACCAGTAGTGGCTCCGCATCTCCAAAAGGGGCCCTCCAACTCCTCGCTAGGCCAGTCCGGCGCCGGGTCGTGGAGCCCTGCGCAACTCCCACTGGCCTCTCGAGGGATCCCTCCTCCAGAGTTTAGAGCAACTTTCCCCTCTACCCCGCGCGGCGGCGGCGGCTCGGGGACAGTGGCCACCTCAGGTAGCTGAACCCTGGGCCACGCTCCCCGCGCCTCGGCTGCGCGCGCGCGTCGGTCGCCCCGGGTCTCCGTGCACGCTGGGGATCCCCGAGCTCGGCTCTGAGGGCGAGATGCCCCTGGGACACATCATGAGGCTGGATCTGGAGAAAATCGCCCTAGAGTACATCGTGCCCTGTCTGCACGAGGTCGGCTTCTGCTACCTGGACAACTTCCTTGGCGAGGTGGTGGGCGACTGCGTCCTGGAACGCGTCAAGCAGCTGCACTGCAACGGGGCCCTGCGGGACGGCCAGTTGGCTGGGCCGCGCGCCGGCGTCTCCAAGCGGCACCTGCGGGGCGACCAGATCACGTGGATCGGGGGAAACGAGGAGGGCTGCGAGGCCATCAGCTTCCTCCTGTCCCTCATCGACAGGCTGGTCCTGTACTGCGGGAGTCGGCTGGGCAAATACTACGTCAAGGAAAGATCCAAGGTAGGACGCGGGCGGGTTCCCCGCCGCCGCTGTAGCCCGCGGGGACTGGGGACTTGCGGAGCCCGCGGTCTGTTGGCTTCTCGGGGCTGCGAGTGAACTTTAGTTTTTCACCTGAGAAGCGAGCAGTCGGTCTGCCTACCCCTCCCCCACCCCTCCTTCGAGCGAAAATCCAGACTAAGGGACTCAGGTGTGTCGTTACGGTGACCTTCTGTTAACTGAAATAATGGGTCCGGTGGGTGGTGCGAACCGGACAAGCTCTGGTTTTTTTGGTCTGGTTGTAACACGTTAATGTTCTCAAAGATCCAGACGAGGGACAGGTTATTGGAAACATTGCGTATGATCTGAGACACGTACCAATTCATGCTGCTAAATGGCCACTTTAAAGTCACCTACTGTTGTACTTCATGGTGTTCAGAAGGCATTTTGAATAAAGAGCGTGCTTCAAGGCTTCTGGAGACGGTTGTGATTTTTTTAGTGTGGCAGTTGGTGTGTGGAGTTTGGCAGGTGGGAAGAAAGTTTGTCCCGTGAAAGAGTAAAGCTGCTCTTCCCTTTTGAGAGGTGCCCTTGGCTTGTTGTGCCCAGGACGCTCCTAGATCAACTGCTTGATTAGAACATTCATTCTCTCCTGGTGCTGAGCCCTACACCACCACCACCTTCCCTTTCCTAACTCTCAGATCCACTCAAAATAGCTTGTTAAGTGATGGGGAGTACACCTTGGGAAAGAAATCCATATTTTTGTTCACAGGGCCAGAAGTGACTGCCTGGGTGGTAATTTATCTTGGAAACATTTACAGGTAGATGGGCAGAACTACGGGCCGTGGGGTACCCTGATGTTGGTCCGTGTACCTTACTGTCGGATAGTCCAGCTACTCAGTCTTTTCTACAGATGGTAATTCTGCCATTTTTCAGTGGCAGTTCTGAGTGATTTGCCCTTTTATTGTGGACTGGTCAGGGGGCACGTGGAGCTGTGGAAAACTTTTACGTTAACACTAGTGAGGCAAATGTGTGCTAGCACAAGAAGAAAGGAGCACCATTCTTCAACAATACATGTAGTATTTCTCAGTTCAAGACTGACTCTTTGATAAAACACATCCTTATTGTCTCATCTCTCTCATAGACCCAGGACAGTTTAAATAAAGGGCAAGTGGTGAAGACTGGAAATGTGTGGACAGGAAGAGGTTGGAGTGGGGGAACCCAGTTGTTGAGAAAACACATTGCTGTATGCCTTTCAAGCGGGAGGACACGAATAGAATGTCTGAGAGCACTTACTAATCAGACACAAAGTAAATCTTGGGAGAAAACGCTGCTTTCTAAATTTTATTTTGATTTGGGGAAAATTCGGTTACCTGGACTCTGGAAGGTTGACGTTGAAGTGTTTCTTTGCTCCTTTATCTTTGGGTGATTAGAAAGCCATTTGTCTCGGTTGGTTTTGGTTTTGCACAGAGTGACCTTGCCTCCCTGGGGCGGGAATGGGGAGGGGGGAAAGGGCCGGCCTCAGTGTTGCAGAAGTGGGTGTTGCTCCAGTCTGGAAGAGCAGATGGCTGCCTTATCAGTTATTCAAGTTTCATTTCAACTCAGGTGCTAAGATTTTACCCCCAGCATTCTGGGAACGTAATTTGCTCGGAGGGAGGGCAGAATTAGCTGGTTGAAAGATGTCAGGAACAGATTTGGGAAAGTTAGATGTTTGTATTTACCTGTGACTTAAAGGACCGTCCGTGCTGGGGTTGTAGGCTAGAATTTGACTGACAAATTGAATGAGAAACACTGTGTACGCCTGGGTAAGGGAAAAGAAAGATCTCTAGATAAGATTCTTCAGTTATAGATTCTCTTCTGCGGAGAACAAATAACTTCTCAGTTAACTCTTTCAGAAGGTGACTGAAGTGAAAAGAGAAATACATGTTTTGTCCCTAGCTAGATCTCCAGCTTTTCTTTGGTTGTTTTTGCACAAAGCTCTTCATTCCGGTCTTTTAGAAAAATCACCTCTAGGCTGGGCTATTCCGTGGCCAACTGGATTATTAGAGTCAAAAATAAAAAGGCTTGATTGGCTTGTTATACCATTGTCCTTAGCTTTGTGGCCTTGGGTCTTATTAAAGCATGATTTACAGTAGTTTCACATTAATTTAACTTTCTTCTCTTCCTCATCTGAGTGCCTTACTCCATGATGCTTCCCAGAGTAGTGATGTAAACCCAGTTTCCAGCTGCATCCTCCAAGCAGGTTTTGAGTAGAAACTAAATTTTTGAAAGGTAGGATGTATACATTTATCTTCAGAAGTTATTTCTAAGGTCTTATTATGGAAAATTTCAAACATGTATATGAGGTACAGAGGTCAGCGTAGTGAATTTTGCTCCGATGACCCATTTTCAGCAATTGCAACAGTTTTGGTTTTTTTTTTTTTTTTTTGGATATTTCTTGGAGTTTTATCTATTAACCCACTCATCCTAATTAAATACTTTTTTTCCCTTGGACTTTTAAAGGTCAATGAATAATGCAAGAATGCCCTTTATCTCAATGAAGCAAAAGCAAAAACAAAGGCATTGGGAATAAAATAGAAATATGTATATGTTGGGCCTAAAGTTGAAATTGTGGAAGAGACTGGAAAGAAATGTTAAAGGCTTCCTCCTTACTGCCAAAAAAGGTGTTACCAGTCAGACTTTATCTTCCTCCACTTTGTTGGAGAAAAATCCAAGGGTGCTGGAGACCCTCTGGGGAAGGAGTTTCCTAAAATGCACAGCGGCATGGCGCCCCCTAACTTCAAGCATGGTCATTGCTTCCAGGCTATCAAGAGATTTCTTGATCTATTACTCCCTTTTGGAGAATTCAGACCCCATCCAAGATAAATAGTGGTCATAATTTGCTCCCTTTGCTTTGGCTGCCTAGATCTTGGAAATGGCTGTTTTCCAGAGAACGTGCAATTTATGGAACCAAATGTTCTCCTGCTTGAAGCCTCTCACTGTAGGCTCACTATTTAGTCACTTTAAGAATAATAACTACTTTTTATTGAGCTGTGTGCCCTGTCTGGCACGGTGCTAAGCACTTTATAAACACTGTCTATCTGATTTAGCCTTCAGAATCACAGTCTTCAGCAAACTGAGTGATTAAATCATTTCCCCAAGGTCGCAAATTGAATGGTAAGCTGCAGTTTATCCTATAGGTGTTAGGGACTTAGGCGTGGGCTCGGGAACTTTGTGGCCTCAGGTAAGTTGTTTACTTTTCATAAAGTGTAAAACAAGGGGTAATAATACCTTAAAGCTTTTTGGGGGAGGGAGTATTAAATAAGATAACGTACGTAAAATTCTTAGTGGAGTTCTGTACCCCGGTGAATGTGACTGTAAGTGGAGGATTTAGAATTCTAACCCAGATCTGACTCCAGGGTTTATGTTCTTGACTGTTCTCCTTTTCGTCCTTTGATTTGTTCAGTGGCGTTTGCTCTGTGTGGGGTGCTCTGCAGGGCCCGAGGACACCAAGGTAAACAGGCATCATCCCTGCCTCATAGAGCTTCCATTCCCATGTACTGTGGAATCGTAGGATCCCATAGTTCCACTCAATTAATTCTCAAGCTTAAAACAGCGAATAGACAAAAACCTAAGCATTGAAGAAGAAAGTGGAACGCGGGGCTAATGTTTTCCTTCTGTTATTTGCAGGGAAAGTGCTCGCTAACAAGGTTGGTTGGTAGGATCCCCTGCCTGGTGTAGTTCTGGACAGTGGGGTCACGGGAGTTGTATTGTGAACAGATAGATCAGCCCTCCTGAAGCAGCACAGACAAAAGATGACTCAGCGATAAGTTGTGAATAAAAGAAAATGTGTTGCAAGGTAGTAGACCTGTTCCTCTCCAGCTGAGCACTGACAGTTGTGGCCCGCCGTTCTCCGGTGATATGGGGAATATCTTTGCCTCAGGGGCGCTTCTTATGGTTGCAAAAATGGCATAATACACGTCAAAGATTAGGATATGTCTCAGGACCCAAGTGCAGGAAATGAGATCAGGGTTCACAGAAGACTGGGGCCATGAACTAGGAACCTGAAAGTCCAAAGGACAGCTGGTGTGTTAGTTGTTTTCTCTGAAGGTTTATGGCCCTCATCTTTGCTTCTCTTGAGTGTGCTCTTGAATTCTGCCCCAATCTACTTACCATCTAGCTTTGGCTCCTTCTCCATGCATCTGGCTCAAGATGGCTGCCTCACAATGGCCGCCTCAGCCTCAGTCAGTCTGAAATCAACAGAAACTTGATGAACATTCTAGAATCCTTGTTTTCATTCTCTGGAGGAAAGTCTGAGGGTTTCACCTTGGTCCTGGGGACCTGTCAGTCTGGGTTGGGGTGGTAGTGGGAATGTATAATCATATGAAACCACAGTTGCCAGGGCCGAAGAAAGGTCCAGTTCTTAGCATGGTGTTTGAGGACTAGACACCATGCACAGTGTCTCTGTAATTAAGACTTTAAAAGTCTGTTTGTGAATAAGATATTTTAGGGGGAGAGTCACTGAGTTTGAAGCACTGGAATATCTTCTAGTAGGGATGTGAAGAATGTCTAGAAAAGGTTTTTATTTCAAAATAATTGAGCTCCTGGAGGAAGGATATTAATTCAAGGAAATAATTTGTAGGATACAACCTCAGTGACGGGAAAGCAAGTTTCCCCATTGGGTGGGTTTTCATAATATTCTTGGTGAATTTTGTTGAATGACACTTAGAAGCAAGGAAAAGACTTGGGGTGTGTGTGTGAGTGTGCATGCGTTTACCTTGTAATTTCTTTTGCTCAATTTTGGGCCTCTGGCCATTCCACCACAACTTACCTGCTTGCATTGAAGTTGCAAATCAGTGGGTATCAGCTTAATTTATTTACTCACAAAACATTAAATGCCTTGCACTGTGGTGGACCTGTACATAGATATGCAAAGGGATGTGGAAAGTGATTATAAAACTACCTAAAAAGAGGGGCACCTGGGTGGCTCAGTCGTTAAGCATCTGCATTCAGCTCAGGTCATGATTCCAGGGTTCTGGGATTGAGGC